TATATAAAGCTGTTTGTGAAGAACAACCTGCCATCAAAATGGCTTACTCAAGGAAGACATATACATGGCACAACTTGAAGGATCTCAAGAGCAAAGTAAGAGCATCTAATGTGCCATTTAAAAAAAAGCTTGTATGGTTTAAAGTAATGAGGAAAACAATGGAATGAATGCTTTGATACTTTTTGAAGAATTATGGACTATCATGTTATCAGCCCGATATGCTCTGAAGAAGTTTATTTGGCAGAAATGAAGAAGAAATTCTGATTTTTCCGAAAGAAACATCCACAGCACTGGCAAAGCTTAGATAATTACAATGCTTGGAAAATTTGTGTACAAGCTGTTTTAGTTCAAAAAAATTTGTTGGAAAGCGATTGATCCTCTATGGTGCTGTATTAAAAAATGATAAAAAGAAAATTAATGAAAAAGCCTTAACATTCCTATTCTTAGTGGTTGAAGACCAGTTCTTAGATGACATTGCTGACTGTGAAAGAGCGAAAGATGCGTAGGATATTTTAAGACATCCACATGAAATTTGGACTCTTGCATTCTCTACAACTTTGGCATCACATAAAAATGTACAGAGTAATGCATTTCCAATGAATCTTAGCAAATGTATATTCCCAAAATAAATAAGATCTTTGATTTATTTGAAAAAGTTGCTTTTGGTTTCAGAACATCATCATTCCATTTTTAACTTTATTTTCCAAAATTTCTCAAACAACAACTTAGATTTCAAAGAGGCAGGACATGTCAGACAAATCGGATCAAATATATTATGTCCAGTAAAAAGAATAATTTTTTTAGTAATTTTCTGTAGGAACAGCTCTTTCAAGATGCTGGTATTGGAGATGTCAGATTTTTTATTGCAAACCAAACCCCATACATTTGTCTCTAGCTGAGTAAAGTTATAAGGTATTTTCTCCCTCCTTGCAGCGTGCCTTTATGGTGTGATACTAACAAATTCAGGACATATTCAAGAGGTTCAGGTTCGAGTCCCGGCAAGGGCATTGCTCAGTTTTCAAATCTCCGGCTTAAAAAACCTAATGACTTTAAAAAGTGCATTAGTATTTTGTATGCTCCCACCTTGTAAGTTAAGACTGTTTCTCGATCATTTCTTCAATTGAAACTTTGATGGAAGCGTTTAGATCTGACTTGCACTTAACACTAGTAACACAAATGTCAGTGTAAAAATTCTTCGGAAGACTCTAAATTATATCTTCATGATATGATGAATTATCAGATCATATTTCTTTTAAGATGTTTTGCAGATGGTAGTAAATGATACAACCTAAAGGAATGGGCTGCATGATACTCCACATATCATTTGACAGTGTCTATTCAACTATATCTCTATTGCTACAATGCCATAGAAAATGTAGTTCAGCAGGTAAAATACTTATTTGTATGTAAGCTCTGCATATATTAGCAATACTGCCTATCCTTTCAACATGAAAATGGATCAAAAGAGTGGAATTAATAAGATTTTTCCCTCTCTCTACGCAGCCATGAAGACCAGGTGATCCTTTTACTTTTACTTACCTGCTTTCTTTGGTGACTGGACGATGTAATAAGCGATCTACCAGAGCCTTTTGCTTATCTTAAACTTCCTTTATAATTTCATGCTTTATCCAACTTTTGAACACTTCCTTCCTTTCTTCATACAGAAATTGTGATTTTAGACATTGTGCTGTTATACTGAGCTTCTTCGAAGCTATATTATAATTATGAGGCAAAGAAGGATGAACTTATATAAAGAGTAAATGAACATCAAAACGATTATTCTCTACAATTATAATTTCTAAATAATGCTTTCTAGTGGCCTCATGAACCTCTGCTCTTGTATTTTTCACAGAACATTAGTATGGATTAATATGAACAGTATCTAGTGGACATAATTTATGAAACCAATTTGTTTGGTGATATTAAACAGGTAATCATTATTGATACACTACTCTGTTCTGATAAAGATATTGTTATTCCACACATCAAGGCTCATTACAGGTTAGTTTCAATAGCTGACAGTCCACATGATAACATATTATAACCACCTGGTAAAAGTATAGTTTAGGGTAACCCTTGGCGATTTTTTGCGGTACATGGTTACCGATTTTGTGAAAATCTTTGACTCGTTATTAACAAGACAAACAATTGCACAAACTCGGTATCCATGTACACATCGACTTATTTTCACTTAAAAAAAATCTACGAATTGCACAAAAATGGCATTGCGCACTCTTTTAACTTTATCCATGTACACGTCGACCTATTTTCACTTAAAAAAAAATCCCAGAATTGCACAAACTTGCATTGCGCATTCCCTTTACTTTGTCCATGTACACATCGATATATTTTCACTTAAAAAGTCAAAGGAGCACCAAAATTCTACAATATAGGCAAACAAAAATGATAATCTCAATAAAATACATTTTAAACCAAACAATAAAATAACATAAAAAAGGAAAAACATGTTATACATTTAAGCACTACCAAAAGCAAATATTCACTTACCATGATTTTCAAGTTCGCTTTGTACACCCAGAGCCACGTAAAAATCAAAATATCAATCATACTCAAATGACTTTTTTCAAACCAGGTACTCTTTCTGATCGAACGCTTTGCATAGTGACCAACTGAACCTTTCTTCCTACAAACAAATTCAAATCCATCTAAACGGTTTTTACGTTCGACTAAATGCATATCCTTCCTACATACAGAACACTTATAATGGCTACTAAGTAAACCTTCATTTACACACCAGTCAATCAAAGCTCTTTTCCCCTTTCGCTCCAAATCATACAGAAACTTCAAATTAATCTTATTACATTTGGCCATTCTACCGTCTAAAGAATCAAACCAACACACACCACAAAACGCTTACAAAACATCCCATGATTCAAAATTCCCAGAATCATGCACCCGATTACGTCACAATAGGGTTTCCATAACATTCAATGACTCAGGCTACCATAAATGAAACAACTTGGCGATAAATCAAACAACAATTTCGCCATAATACAAGGGGTACCTTAAAGTCTACTCTACCCAACCACCTGTTATGCATTTACCTGCTAACGTTAGCACCAATAAGAACTTCGACTGAACCTTGATTGCTATCAACAATAAGAATATCATTATCTAAAATTTCTTTTGGACAAAATTTATGGGCTAAAGGTGGCACAGTCTCGCAGATAACAGGCTGACTCGAAACTTTAAAATTACAAGTTCCATCAAATATTGATTAAAAACAACGGAAATATATTATGTTTACACATTCCTATGCTATTTCCGCTAAAAAATAAATGCTGAAGATGTTCATCATTTAGAGCTTCATATCCCATCTTTTGCAGTAAATATGAACATTGTGATGCAGAGGGAATTATTGCTTTTGCATTTCCCTTTTTGCCATTTATTATCTCTACTGATTACCATCAACATTTGGAGATTGTGACATAATGACGAGAGCTAGCTTGATCATTCTTAGAGTTGCTCTCTGCCTCTGTTTTAGGAAAGTCATCAGATGGTTTTTGACAAATACTTTGACATAGCAAAATGTGATGTTTCTTACCATAATATAAGCACCCTACCTTTAAATTATACTGGCAAACATGCTGCCCTGGTTTTAAATATATGAAACTACAGTAACAATTTTCTACAAAATTGTCTCTCACTTTCAATAACATGATTTTAATTTTAATTCAGTCTTCAGAACTGTGATCATTTGAATACAATATATCGATTCTCAATCGGTGGTACGCAACAGAAAAATAGGTGGAATGCAAAGAAACAAAGTATTTTTAAATATTAACTTCAAAAATCTCGTGAAGGAAAAGAACAACTGATAAAAATTTCCTGTGCTCGAACTGTAACTGAAGTTTTCAAAAATAACACACTCATTAACTTTTGGCTGAACTGAAAAAAAGAATTTAAAGGCATTTCAAATAAAACTATTACATTTTTATTGCCTTTTTGCACTTTGTTATTTTGCAAAACCTATATGTGCAAACAAAGATTTTTTTTCCATGTTATATTTGAAAAATAAATACAGAATAAAATTAAAAGTAGATCCTAACTTAGGGTTAAAATAAGTGAAATAAGACCAGATGAAGAAATCGATATCTCTTAAACATGCCCAAATTTCATACTAAATTTATAATTACCCTATTATAACTTAAATTTTGATAATTACAATGGTAAGCAATTTTTAATCTAGTATTTTTTTATGTGTGCACATTTAATACAAATAGCTAATACGCTGTGCAAACGGCAAAATATATTTTTTTTTAAATATTTCTATTGTAAAAATGAAAATTAATGTTTGTAAAATGTAATGGTGGTACAAAAGTTAAAAAAAATTTTTTTTAGATGGTACGCGCTGGTCAAAAAGGTTGAGAACCGCTGCAATATACATTGTATACTTCTAGGGGAAGATTAAATTAAAAGATTAGCTGCACTTGGAACCTGAGCAGCATTCCCATATTTGAGTTTATTAATCACAAACTTCTTATTAGGGCTAAATTTACTGTCAAATGTTAGCAAAAACATGACCTACTTAGCATGCAAAGCACAAATACAAGAAAATGATAATAAATCAATGCTGTACGCTTACCTTTACCTTTTTAATTTTTAAACCAAGGAGCAAAATTAACACATTTATATTAAAGATCTACCTTAAATAAGTTGTCAAATGTCAACACTATATGAAATATATATGTCTACTAATACAACAAGTAAGCACAAAATTTTGTATTATAGAATATTAAAGTATGATAATTATTCTCATCAACTGGCATGTCTACTATATTGCAACTGCATAAATCCTTGAACTAATTTGGGGATATAACTTTTAAAATTAAATTTTACGACTCAGCATGAGTCCATGGAGAAAGAACTCTTATGCTTTACACATCCTTTTTTTATTTTTCCCACTACAGAACTATATAGAAACGTACAATTTTCAAGAGAATAAATTGTTAAAAAGTAAATAAAAATAAATATTATACCCAAACTATATCACGCTGTCTTCACCACATAAAAACAAATCAATGTTGCCAGTTGGATGTTTGTTTATCCTATCATTATTGGAAGAATTGTCAAAAAACCTCAAACTATACTTCCGGTTTGAACTTAGGATGTAGGAAGGCCAACTAGATTAGAGCTGCTAGAGCCTTAGGATATATAATGATGATAAAAGTATTTTTGAAGCAGAACATCTATAAAACATATTATAGATTGCATGGAATTTCTTCTTTCATGATTTCAGGTGGATTGATTCGATTTCTAGACTGGCATTATAAAATTTTATCATTTAAAAAAATCTGTAATTTAAAAATTGCAGTAGGTTTAACGAAAAAATAATACTTTAATATTTTAATGATTCGGAATATATTAGATGTATACTTAAAGCAGAAAAATCTAACTGGACAATTTTTTTACTTCTATTAGTGTTCAATTCAAATTCTAAGATAATTTTATTTTATTGATGTATTATTTACTAAAGCTTGCACAGCAATCGCAGCAAGAAACCAACTCCAAAACTATCTCATTAAGCTGGAAAAATGGCTCACCCTTTGGAGGATTAAAATTGACACTGATAAAACCAAGGCAATAATTTTCCGTAAAGGAAACATGAACTACTATCCTCCACCTAGATTCATGTAAAACGCATATTAAGCATTCTTTGTTAATAGTCTCTTTAAAAAAATAACCCTCTTTTTTTTTTGTCATTCTAACAAATCCGATTGAATATCCATGACATTTATTTCCGTTGACATATCGAAATGTCGCCCATATCCTTTTATCTGAGGTGCAAAAATATTCAGAAAAATTTTAATTGCATTTTTATATAACTTAAGATACCTTAGTATAATATATTCATACATAATATCAAGGAGGTCATTCTGATCTCTTTCATACTATGTATGAGTGTCAAGTAGTGCAAAGTAATACAAATATTAAGTATCTAGTACTACTTAAAATACTATGCAAGAAGGTTAGAATTAAGGCTACTATAAAGGTAGCTCTAGTTAGAAAATATGGCATTCTATAAGATTTACAATCTCCATAAATGCCATTAGCCATTGTCTAGCCTGCCGGAGAAAATAGAAAAGAAACTGCTACTATAACGACGCAATCCCGTGATGCTGCTCTCATTGCTTTCTTGAATGTTTTGTAAGATAAAGTAGTGTTAATCATTTGATTAATTAGATAAATTGATGCGTCAAAAGCGATGCATGATTATAATGCTCAATTATTTAATATAAACAATTTGTTGATACTGAGTTAAATTTTTGTACTTCGGAGGAATTATATCCATAAGTAGGTGGCAGGATGAGATGCTAAACTGAATAGATTTGTACTACATAAAATCACATTAAAATCATAAATATGCTAACTAATGTGAATTTCTGACATTATTGAATAAACCTTGCATTCATATTTCATTTATTTTTCAAAACTTTTTGGTGCTTTCAAACCTGGAACTTTTCATCTGAATAGAGCTTAATGGTATAAGGTACGTATCGGTAAAGAATGTGTGATATTCATTAATTACTTTCTTTTTTTTAATTCTTTTTTGTAATAGTAGAGTATATTAAAATTTGCAAACAATATCCGATATTTTTGTTTATCTAAATATTTATACATATGTCGCTGAAATAACATTCACCTGAGTTATTAGTAATTAATAATAATAATTTGAACCAAATGTTTGCATTATATCTATAATAAATTTTTACATTTTAACCTATTACACAATATTTCTCTTAAAAATTTAATAAAGTAGTCAAAAAGTCTTTGAATATCAGTAGTTTTTAATCATTTACTGAAATATAAATGAATATTTTGTAAATTATGGCCTTCTCATAATTTAAAATCGTAATTTGGCTAAAGTAAATATATGAAACTTTGAATAAACATAATTAATTATAAAAAAGTATGAAATATTTAAAAATGTGTGATACTAATCCAAATATAACTCAAATATTGCTTTTCAAATGTTTCAGGAGTCTCTCAGAAAAAATGAATATTTCACCAGATATTTTTAATATGGATTTTATTGATAGCAGTTTAACCAATCTGCATTGAAATTCATATGATAATCAATGACCCAGAGATTTAGGTAATTTAGATTAAACGTGAATAATGGTAAAAGTTTACAATTGGGTGCCCCTTCTTTTTTGGCGCCAGGAAGACACAATTTCAAGATGGCCGCTATGCAAAACCAAAAAGAAATTGCGTTAACCCTATGTCCATGATCACATTGATCTGTTTTCACTTAAAAAAACATCCTAGAATTGCACAAACTAGGCATTGCACACTGCTTTAAATTTGTCCATGTACACATCAGTCTATTTTTATTTTAAAAAAATCAGGAGGCTAAAGCAAAGTTAAACTATCATGGTAACCAGAAATGAGATTTCATCGCCAAAATTTTACAAAAAATTGTCGCGAATCAAAGGGGCACCCAATTCTACATTAGAGCCTGAATGGTAATTAAAAAAAAGAGCCGGTAAATTTTAAAACCAAGTTGTTTCAAAATAAGAGTCTTTTAGGAAAGAAAATTTTTAAGATAGTATTCGCACGTGTAAACCCTGCAGCATTCAGACGGTCATCACGGAGAAACTAGTCTTTTGCAACTTTCTTGACAGCTCACATCTAGGGGTACTAATATTTATGGTAGTAATCCATCTCACTTACAGTCGAAAGCCTTGATCAAGTATTCTGGGAGGGGAAAGAACTAACAATAGCAATAGCTGGCATTTTTCAGAGGTTTAGGATTATTTTCCCATCATTTTAAGGGAAGCTCAGTCCAAAATTAGTGACATTTTTAAAGGTATTTGTAGAAAATCACTCAACAGGCTAAGGGGGTGAATCTTTACATTATGGTAACTTGGCGATTTTTTGGCGAAACTTTGGTGACCAACCCTGCTACAGCAACCTGCAAGTTTTGTTTTGGACGCCATTTTGTTTTCACGAGGTAAAGGCATTTTTTTTTTTTTTTTTTTTTACTTAACATTTTTTCCAACAATCTCCTAGCTGAATTACGCTTATACTAGAACTTTTATGGAACAAAAATGCTTAATCATGACCAAGATTAAATGCGAAATTGGGAGAAAGTGCAGAATCGCCAACTGCTTGCCGCGTTTTTAAGAATTGCACATACACAGTAGCCATGTACACGTCAACCTATTTTCACGTAAAAAAACATTCCACAATTGCACAAAATGGCATTGTGCACACTCTTGACTTATCTATGTACACATCGACCTATTTTCACTAAAGTCAAAGAAAATTGACAAAAATCCAATTCTTCTTACTCTTGTAAAAAGCGCCAAACAAATAAGTGAGCGATTCTGCACTTTAGCAGCGAAATTGTTTCTAAGTGCTTATTAGCTAAAATCACGATCGGAATTTTCCGGAAAATGTCACATTACAGGTCTCATGATCTCTCATTTCTCCGAGACAAAATCTGTGATTCGAACTGTGTACTTCTCAGATTATTGCTAAAATCCTAGGTAGTAACCTTTATCGCCTTACCAAAATGTCGCCAAACTACTTGTTACCATATTCTAAAGATTAGCCCAATATTTATAGGGAAGCACTTCCGCAAAGGATCCGTTAAATGTAAACATCGCCAAAAATGGTGATAAACGTTCAAAGCTAGTAACCCTGCGAATTGGCAACCTGGTTCGCTTTTAGAAAGAGAATATTTGCCGTGTGTTGGGGGCTTCGTTTTGCCGCTGGCTAGCGGTGCGTCAGTACCAGGTTAAGTGCTGAAAATCGCTGGAGGTGGGGGGGGGTGAATATAATATGGCTTTTTAGAATAGTATAGCTGTGTTCTTACGTAATTTTTAAAAGACTTTAAACACGCAGAACCACAGGGCTCCTAAAATATTATGATTAACATGGGTTAAGTTTAAATTAAGTTTTTATTTTTATTACTGTTATTTTTACCCAAAATAATAAGAATTAAATCAGTTTTCATGCTTAAAAATTTGAGATATTTTTAATGCATTTTTAAAAATTACTTTTCAGATGATGCTAGGTGTTTATATACAATAGATGATTAGAATAAAAAAAAAAATTATTGGTTCTCTGAGATGACAAAATACTTTTATGTATTCCCAGCGTCATCAAAGTTAGTGAACCACTGCTTTGAGTAATTAATCAAAGTTTGAATGAATCTTGAAAGATAGCAAGATGTATAATGTTTATTCTAGTTTTATTTACAATGTACTTTAAAGGAATTGAATATTATTGAAGATACTTGGCATTCTCAAATTTATTATGAAAAAGGCAGTTGTTTCAAAATATTTTAAGCTATCAGCAAGTAAATTCAAAAAACAACTTTGAAAAATTGCCTGTGTAAAATGAATGTTTTGAATGTACTATTTAGTAATGAATCCATTAATCTATTAAATGTACAGTAGCATTAATTATTAAACATAATTTTGAGAATATCGACAAGCAAAGCACGTAATGAAAAAGACACTTTTTACTAAAAATATTAATATTCTGTATGAATGACACAGAATATATGTAATGAATACCATGGCTAAATACCTATATAAAGAAAAAGAACAAACAAAAAAAAAAAAAAAGTAGTATTCTCTACCTCGACACTTGCAAAAGTAATCCTGCTATGCAATACATAGTTAATTTCTCATTACATGATATTGCAAGCATTTTCTTCAGATTTTTCCTACAACTGATATTGAATATTGGTAGTTTGATCTGGTTTCATATCATGGTTAAAGGGCAGGCTGCATGGTTGATTTTTCTAGTTTACCTCATATATAATGCAAATACAAGCCATTTTCCCTTAGAAAATTGTTCATAAAGGCATCCTTCTTCAGGTCGATAGCCGGTATGCTTTGCCATATTCGAATAACCTAAACTTTCCTTCAGATTCTACATTGACGTGATATATCTGTTGTAAGCAGGACAATGATCATTCCGCCTCTATCCGTGTAGCAGGAGTGTATTTAAAAAATGTCAGAATCATGGGATTCATAACAAAGTCGACCATGTTTTAATCTTGAAAACTTTATAAATTTTCCCGATTTTCTTACGACATGGGTTTCACTAACAAGATATTCATACTTTTG